TGGGGATGGTAGGGGAATTCTGGCAACTCCACTGCTGAGTTTCAACTCCCACTGGTAAATGCAAGAGCTAGGGCTGGGGTGGACCAGATTGGGAAAGGCTTCAGCACCCATCAACATGTGAGTGGTTTGGGCTTGGGGCAAGGTAGATCAGACTAGGCTCTAACACTCATTGGTGCTTTCAAGATCCAGAATGGATATGAGACAGCCTGGGCTAGGCCACAACACTGAATAGTTAACATGAGAGCTGGGTCTGGTGGTGGCCCAGATTCTTTAGGTTGTAGCAGCTACTAGTGAGAACCAAATGGGTACCTGACAATTGGGCTAGTCCACAGTACCTGCTGGAGAGTGCCAGGACTGGGGGTGGGCCATGTCAGGCTGAGTTACAGCCACTGTAGGTACACATGAGATTCAGGGCTGGGAGTGGGCCTAGTAGAAGAACTTCAGCAACTCTTCTACTAGGCTGTTGCTCCTGATGGTGAGTCTTAGAGCTAGGGCTGGGATCAGACCAGACCAAGCTAAGCTGTAACACCTGGCAACATATGTGTAAACTGGGTTTGGGAACATGCCAGGTTAGGCACACACTAGCCTTAGTGAGAGTCAGGACTGGGTGCAGGCCAGGTGGGGTTGGACCACAATACTCACCAGTGCATATGAGGGCTGGGGATGGGTAAGACTGTGCTAGACTCTTGGCCACACCAGTGAGAGCAGGGGCTGGGGCTGGCTTGGTTGAGTCAGGATGTAGCACCTGCTGGCAAATGCCGAGACTCAGGGACATGTCCTCTTAGACTGGGTCATAGCACCTGCTGGCACATGCAAAATCTGTGGCTGGGAGAGTGCTTGGTGGGGGAAATTTGGGGACTCCCTTGCTGGGTCAGTGCTTCCAATGGTGAGTGATAGAGTTGGCAGTGGGGGAAGGCCACTATGGGGGCAGGCCAGGTTGGCATAAATAAGAGCCAACATGGGTGTGGGCTGGCTAGGATAGGCTGATTCACCCACTGGCATGTGCAAAAACCAGAATGGGTGAAGTCCAGCTGGGCCTCTGGCTGGCAAATATCCCTGGCAGGAAGCATGCCTCATAGGGGAGCTGTGAACACTTCTCTGCTGGGTTGCAGCTCCCATTGGTGAGCAAAGTCAGGGCTAGGGGTGGGTCAAAGCACAGGTCCCATTGATATATGTATGGGCAGTCTGGAGCGTAGTTGGGCTAAGCTAAACCGCATCACCCCTGGGTGTGCAGGGGAACGAGGTGGAATCTGGGGCACACCAGGTTATCTTGTAGCACATGCTGGTACACATAAAAGACAGGGCAGGAGTGGTCCTAATGGAGGTTATTGGTCATCTCCAGTAGGCTGCAGCATCCACTGATATGCATGAAACCTGGGCATGTGGTAGGCTGTGCTAGGCTGTAGCACTCATCAGTTTTCATGAGCTATTGTGCTGGGGATAGAACTGACAGGCACTTGCATCCACTGGTATGTATGTTGGCTGGTATAGGTGATGGACTGAACCTGACCCTGCACTGGTTGACACACACAAGGATTAAGTCTGAGGTCCCTGCAAGGAGGTTTCTTGGGGGATTCTTCAAGTAGACCATTGGACTCAAACCCAGGCCACAGGGAAAATTATAAGATGTATGGTATGACCTTGAAATACATGTGTCAGAACTGTGCCTCCTCAGTTGCTGATGCCTGTGCAGTTGACTGCATGACAAGGTGTACATGGGGGACATGATGGCCAGCTCATCTAGGCCAGCAGTAGAACTCGACTGATTTGTCGAGGATGGAAAGCAGAACAGGATGGACAATTCCCCTGGCCAGGCAAGGCTTTGCAGCATCTTCATGGGTCTCTGCATGTATTAAGGTGGACTTTGTCAGCCAATGGACCTTGGAAGGAGTTTTTTCAACACTAGCTCAATTAAACTGATGATGTCAGAATTATCTTGAAGTGACAATAACATCGGAACACTGTTCCACATTTGGATTTTAAAGGTGTTATGAAATCAGTGTCCCCCATTCCTGGGAGCTGATGCAGTTTGACAGCCAGAAGCAGTTCCCTCGCCGCACCCTCTTGTAGACTTAGGAAAAAAAGTGAAACATTTGCCCCACCCACCTATCTCAGCCCTCCCCATTCTGATTGGAGGTTCACATGGATGTGCATCACTCTCAAATATGTTAACAGTATTAAAAATAAAATCATTTAAGAAAAATATTCCTGATTATTTATATATCAAACCCAGTACTATATGCCTGGCTTTCTAAATAATAAAGAGCATACCCTCTCTAAAATGTAATCCTTTTACCATTCCTTTACTGCTGAATATTTATTTCCACTCTTTTAGTATTTTGCCAGTGTTATAATTAGTACATTCCCACATACGTATTTTGATTCTGTTGTAAATGTGATGATCAGATTGTTTCTTTCCTATTTTAGCATATTTTTGATCATTACTTATGTGTCTTTGGGGAAACTACCCTCTTTGATCACAGTTTGATTATTGCTTTCTTGGAAAACATTCTACTAAAGTCTGATGGCCATGTCTTTGTCTAATGTGTTTTGTAATGTAAGTTTGTTAGTTTTTTTTTGTTAAATGTTCAGCACGTGCAAATTCATTGTTGTTCTACCCCCTGCATGAAGGACATAACCAGTCTCATTATTTATTTTTACTGCCATTAAGGAAAAAAAAATGAGTGGACTAATTTAGCAGTCAATATTTTCATTAAGAAGCCTGGGTCTCCTCAGAAAGGTCACTGAAATAAGCCAGAATAGGCAGATAGTAAAATATAATAAACAAAATCAAATGAACTCTTCATGTCCTCAAAATTATAAGTCTAGAAATTAATATAAGACAAAGACTTGAAACTATGTGCAAGACTTGAAAACGAATCTATAAAGCATTTGAAAGTAAAAACCTGAGTAAATGGAAATGTTCACAGATTGAAAAATTTATATTGGTAAAATATCCAACTCTTTTTGGCCTCAGAGAAGTCTAGTACATTTAATATGGAAAACATACCATTTTGAAATTGAAATTAGGACAAATTGAAATGGGAAGTATGACATAAGCAAAGCTGGAATAAGTGGCTATAATTGTTGACAAAATAAAATTCAGGTAAAAGCATTCCAGAGGGAATAAGGTTATGCCTTATTTTTTTGAAAAATAGCTGTTCTTTCATGATTTACAATAGATTCAGGCATATAAAATAATGCCTTTTAACTTCTGGGCTCTAGTAGATATTCATAATTATGGTATTATTAACCCAGAGCATTTATATTTGTATAGGGATCAAATAGAAGAATAAGACAGATGTAGATGATCAGAACAATTAATAGTAATAAGTTATAGAATAGCATAATGAGATAACATTATCAGGAGCACAGGGAAATTAGGAGGAGACAATGCTGAGAAGCAGATACCAGTGCAGCAAACTAAAGCTACAGGCCCAAGTTGAAGCAATTTAAAAAAAAAAAAGAAGCCTTTAATCGTTGGCTTTGATGCTATAAGCAAGTGTCCAAACCCAAGAAAGCACACATTTTTCCCTGTGGTAGGGGTACAACAGTCCAGGGTCAGGTGAGTCAACATAAACAGGACTCTTACTGTTGAAGGAGCCCAGAACAGAAGGACCCTTAATTGGGTCATGCACCTGGAAACTGGAAGGAGAATAAGAAGAACTGAGAGGGAGTATTAATTGAGTACTGATAATAATGGCATGATCTTTAAGATTCTCCAACAAAGAGACTATCAGATGAAATGAGAATGTAGATACTTGAAAGAGCATGGCTGGGCATGTTGAACCCTGGGCCCAGGAGATCTAATGATAGACTGAAGGGTATGGCTATGATCTCTTTTTCCTCAGAGACTTTCCAGGTCAGGTCCTTCCTTGTCCTTGAAAGTACAAACATTTAAATAAGTAGGGAATCGTTTTTCTCAAGTACATATATCTAAGGATTATCTGCTAAAATATTTTTTTGCTGCTTTTTTAAAAAAACTATAATCTACAACAAAAGCCACAATTTGCATTAACTGGTAAATTGTTTACACTAGATTTTAAAATTTGTTTAAACAATTCTAATACTATTAAGTAATAATGTATTTGACATCTGATATAGTCCTTTAAGAACTTGGGTCAGCATAAACTTTTTATCATCTCACAGCAATGTGTATTTGGTTGTGACTCTTCTGGTTAAAGGATACTAAACTTTCATCTTTTGATAACTATACATATGCATATATGTATGTATATATATTTAAAGATTTGTTTATCTTTATTGGAAAGTCAGATATACAGAGAGAAGGAGAGACAGAGGGAAGATCTCCCATCTGATGATTCACTCCCCAAGTGACCACAATGGCCAGTGCTGTGCTGATCCAAAGCCAGGAGACTGGAACTTCCTCCAGGTCTCCCATGCAGGTGCAGCATCCCAAGGCTTTGGGCCGTCCTTGACTGCTTTCCCAGGCCACAAATGGAGCTGGATGGGAAGCTGGGCTGCCAGGATTAGAACTGGCACCCATATGGGATCCCAGCGTGTTCAAGGCGAGGACTTTAGCCGCTAGGCCACCTCACCGGGCTTGATAATTATATTTTATTTGAAATTATATATGCACTTTTCAGTTAGAATTTATATTCTTAACTGTTAAATTGTAAGTTTAACTGATCAAACATAAACAATGGAAATATTAGTCTTTTCTATTTGGTTTCCAGAAGAGATCCTTATAATCGCTACTGAGAAAAGATATAATCTTACATAGCGCAAAGTTTTCTGTTCAAAGCAATGACAAAGGCAGTGTGTCATTATTTTAAAGTATAAAGTTCAATGGAAGAACATCTAAATGAAAGAAGGGGAACTTTGCAAAAGTTTATCAAGACAAATTAGGATATCATTTCAATTTTTCTTAAACAATCCTTCAGAAATTCAAAACCAAAGAATTAATTTCAATAAGTATTTGTTTCTTTTCATTTATTCCATGGTCTCTGATTTTGTAATTTCTTTCGATTTTTTTTAAGGCCTGTTCACAGAACAGCACAGGAACACAATATAGTGTGGAAGATGCTGAGGACAATTCCGGAGTTAAACTCTAACCTAAGTAAAGAGCATCTGAAGATTGTTAGCAGGAATCTTGTTTCTCAAACATGGATAAAGGGCAGCACAGGTAATAGTCTAATGTGGAGAGGTATTTGGCAAGATAAAATACATGACACTCCTTTGACTTCCCGTTATAATGTTCTTAATGTTTAATTGATAAATTCACATGTACAATTTGATGTGCTGCATTTGTTTGGTTATATTTTGATACTTACGATTCATGTCATAGACTAGTACTTCACTTTGAGCGCTCGTCTGAATCACACAGTGTATTCATTGAAATACATGTTGTTAATCATAGTCCCTGTATCACTAGGTTTTTGAAGATGGATAATTGCATTCCAAATAGTATGTCAGTGAGGTGACTAGTCCTGGCTTCACACTCTGGGTTCCTATGCGCTCACTGCCCTATGCATTTGATCTCACTGTAGTAATGTCTTTCCTAGATAAGCAGCACTGCTGAAAGTGATTATTCGTTAATTATTTGACTGTTTCAGATGCTGATTCAAATATTGGGAAACGAAAGCTAGACCCAACAGATTTTAGTTCCTAGTTCTTTTATAAAGGATATAGTAGCTACACAAACAACAGTTTTGATAGTTTAATTTTTAAGGGAGGCATATAATTTAGCTCATTTTTTGGTCAAAGGCTTTTCTTTCTTATCCCTCACAGAAATAAATGCAGACATTATTATTTTCTACGTGAAGACCCTCAAGGCACAAACATATTACATAAAGCATTCCTAGTTGGAACACAATTTCAAGTATTTCACACTATTGCTAAATTCATTATCTGTACATCACATTAGTGTTTGTTAAAGTGGTTCATTAGGATTTTGCATTTAAAACCTGACTGCATGTGTCTAGTGAGGAGATTTACATATTTTGAGTATTTTCCCCAATGGTCCTCTCATAATTAGTTCCAGTTAATCAGAGTCATGCAGTGAGAAATAAAAGAGCTTTGCAGAGGTTAAAATGATTTTTAAATGGAAAAAAAGAACAAACATTCAACATTACTTTGCCATTAGCTTGAGGATAGTAATTAAAAATTAATTTGGCTTATAAATCCCTGAAATTGTATTTATAAAGGCAAAAAATGGAAGCAAACTAAGTGTTCTTCAACGAACAATTGACTGCACACATTGCAATTTTGACAGGTATGAAAAGAATGAGTGTGTATATATGTGTATATAAGCAAAATAATTACAGCATTATCTAAACATTTGTTTTCTCAATTTATACATGTAGTAGATTATAAACAAGAATGAGTTTAAATGTCACTGCAAGTATGCATATTTTAAAATTATTATTTTAATGTGGGGGTATAACTGAGGAGTAGTAAGAAGGAACAATGGACTTTCACATATATACATTTGAGTGTGTGTGTATATATAAATGATTATAACTTATATCTTGATTGAACTTTCCTATAATGAATACCTGCTCATTTGTTGGCATTTATAATCAGATGTTTGTGGCTTCGTTGGAAAAGATTATGAAATTACAATTAGAAGCAGAGATTTTTGTTCTTATCACATCTTTATAGCCACGGTGGCCAACTATTAAAATATGAAACTTCAATATTTGACAAATATCAACCTTAAGATCATTATCTGCATTAAATAAACTATTCTAATTTACATTTCAGGAGAGCAAACTTTACATTTTTTTTGAAAATTGAAATCTCTGCATTGATAGCAACCTGTGTAAAATTGTCTTGAGTATTTAGGACAATTAGTTCTGACACATGTATTTTCTTATTAAAACAGTCAATTTTTAAATATCTGAGCTTCATAGGTCTCTTTATTCACCTAACTTAAAATGAAAGAGTATAATAAAAAAAGTGACTTTTTCACTCTTTCTTTGCGTGTTTTTCTTGCCTGCCATTACTGAAGTATTCCCTCCTATCACCCCTCATCATCAGGCTGCTGGTTTTCAGTCTTTTGCCAGGACTTGTCTCTCCAATGCTTTTCTCCCAGCTGTTTGCCCCTTCTGCTCTAGTGCACTTTGTCCACTCATTCTTTAGAACTGTGTTAGTTAAGAAATTTTCCTAAACTTATTTAGCCAAACTCTTAGCAATTCATTTTGTGTAAGCAATGAATTATTGCCTAGAAAACACCATGATGGCTGTGATAAGAATACTAAACACAGTTGCTATTTTATTTCTTTGTTACTACTATATAGTACCACTTATGCTAGCATATTAATACCACAGATAATCCTTATTACTTTTAATTACCTCTGTATGTATGTGTTGATAGTTATGAGTATAGAAAATATTTGCTGGAGTCCATTTATTTCAATCATTTTCAGCAAATTTCCTATTTTACAGCTGGGGCAAAGAGAATTTTGTTAATAGTTCTTCATTTTACTTGAAAGTCAGAGTTACAAAGAGAGAGGGAAAGAGAGAGAGAGAGAGAGATCTTCCATTCATTGATTCATTTTTCAAATAGCCACGATGGCTGGAGCTGAGCAAATCCTAAGCCAGGATCCAGGAGCTGGTTCTGGTCCAGGCTGCTCCACTCTGCTTTTAAATAAAAGCAAAATTTGTGGCTGGTGCTCTTATGACACAGCAGGGAAAGATGCCCTGCAACCCACAGGGGAGCATTGCTTCAGGCCCTGGTTGTTCTTTTTCCAGCTAATGTGCTGAGAAAGCAATAGAGAGTGCTTTGAATGTTTCATTCTCTACCACCCACATCGGAAACTTGGATAGCATTCCATGTTTCTGCCTTACATCTGGCCTAGTTATAGCTTTTGCAGCCATTTAGGGAGTGAATCAGTGAATCAGCAAGTGGAAAATCTCTCTGGCTCTCTGTTGCACTCTATCTTTCTAACAAATATTTTTTTGCAAAAAGCAAAATACAGCTTCCTATGGTCACTGTACATGGATGGTGACAAAAAAATAGCTAGGTTAGAAAATAGAAAATAGCCTCAGGTTACCAAAAATAAGAAAAAACAAAAATAAAAACATAGAGAGCATGCATTTGGCAACTTTTATTATGTAACAAGAAGTGTTTATTGGGCCCAGCGCGGTGGCGCAAGTAGTTAAGGTCCTCGCCTTGAACACCGGGGATCCCATATGGGCGCCAGTTCTATCCCAGCAGCCCCGCTTCCCTTCCAGCTCCCTGCCTGTGGCCCGGGAAAGCAGTCGAGGACGGCCCAGAGCTTTGGGACCCTGCACCCGCGTGGGAGACCCGGAAGAGGCTCCTGGCTTCGGATCGGCATAGCATCTGCTGTTGCACTCACTTGGGGAGTGAATCATGGGACGGAAGATCTTCCTCTCTGTCTCTCCTCTCTGTATATCCGCCTTTCCAATAAAAAAAATAATAATAAAAATAAATCTTTTTTTTTTTTAAAAAACTGTTTATCCCTGAAAATGAACTTGTAAAATTTTTATTTTTTATATCAGTAAACTAATAAGAAATTGATAAGATGCTATTGCAAATCACTTAAATATTGGCTCATAATTTATGAAGTGATGAGAAGAAATATTTTTTAAAAAGCATGCACAAGATATATCATCTAGTTTTCATGCCCTGCATTTTCCAAATGATGACTTTAGAATGACTGAGTCTTATCTGAATTCATTCAAGTGCTTACATGAATATCCACTTGCTGGACCTGTAGACACCAAATGGAACTTGGATTTGATGATGGCAAATCGTGGAGACTTATATATGTGGAATAGGAAAACCATGGGGATTTTTTTTTCTAGGAACTCTCCTTGATTAAGAAGATTAAGGAGATTTCCTTTTTAAGTTCTTTAAGTGACTATCATAATTTCTAGAGAAAAGACAAGTGAATATAAATGATAAATATGATCTTTTTGCTTATAGAAAATAGGCAGAATGATATTTTTCGAGCAATCTAAAAAATTCAAAGGCTCTGTACTATATTTTAAATTCATCAAAATGATATTTTATCATTCTTAAAAATAGAATCCATCAGTACCATTAGGTGATGAATCACCATAAATAGTTGTCTGAAAAGAATACACCTGCATATGTACACATGTACAAGTGTCACATTGAATTCATGGGCATAGTTATACTAAAATGGATCTTCAAAAAGCACAGCAAGTATTAGTATATGTTATTCATATCTGTGTCTATATTGATACCTACATGCATGTGTATGTATAACACGTATATAATATGTTGTGGCTTTGTTTCAGTGACTGCAAGTGATGGATTTTACATAATATTGAAAGGCGTAGCCCGATATCAACCAAAAGTCTGGAACGGTCTGAATGAGAAAATGGACTCAGCAGTCAGCTACAATCCTCTGACTTCCAGTAGCCTTGCTATGTTGGAAAACTTCAGAAGTTCTGACGTTTCTGATGTGTATGCGCGTTCACCTGACTCAAAGGTTAGAGATACTGTTTGCTTTTTCCATAAGCAGCAAACAACATGATTGTAATTTTTCTCTTTTACATTTTAATAACTATGTATCTAAGCATTTAGAGGATCTTAAAATAATGAACATTTTCATTTTAAAAGTGGTTTTATTATTTTCCGTGATAGAGCCTTTAAGGTACAAGGATCCCCCCCTTTTCCTCCACTTTTGTCCTCCCCATTTCCCCAGCCCATCATTTCTCCCATGCACACCATATTCCTCCATATTATTATACTAGTATATGCCTTTAGTAATAGTCGCAAGATTAACATTCTGCTATTTAAGAGCATCATGGCATTGTAGGTATAGACAAAGGGAAAAAGTTGACAGGATATATTTAATTGCTTTACTGGTAGTCCTCCTTATAAATGGGAATAGATATGCCTACTGTAACATATCTCTACTTCCCAGTATGCTAATCTCCAGCATGCAGTTCATCTATGAGAATGAATATATATGCTTTGTTTAACTATATATATTTGTTTTGTATTTTGCATGAATGTTGCCTTTTATGATAGAGAACACATCTTTTCTTAGTTTTGTGGTAAATATAAAACTGTAGCAATTTTAATGATACCTATCAAAATAAAATCTTACATACTCATTGAAATTTGATTAAAAGTTTTAATAAGGGATGACGTCAACAGCATCCTGCCCAGTGATAGAAGTGTGTGGCATATTTGGTAACTGAGAGATTAACATGACTAAATCACTGAAAAAGGAAAATATGATAGGTTGAGATAATGGAGGAGTAAGTCGTTTAAGGAGGGAGAGAGATGGGAGACTGATCATGAAGGGCCTTTAAAGGTAAGGAAAGCATTTGTCTCAAGAAAAATGCTAAGCCAATTGATGAGATGTCTGTGTCCCAATCACATTATTTGCTTCTTGTTATATGTTTTCTTTTGTTTGTATTTATGCAGCATTGCAAGATTATCGAGTCAATGAAAACACAGGTATCCTAGAATTCTGAATATTTACCATGTAGCTAATATCAAATTTGATTAAAACTGAAACTTGGAATTCCATCCTGGATTTATGTGACCAAAATGTTAACAGAACCCAATTTCAAAAGAATCAATTAAAAATATTTTTAAACATTTTACGTTGAAGTCCAAGAAAACCTACCAAAACTCCGAGGTTCTAGAAAAATGAAAAGTAGGGAGAATGAGAAATTTTATAGGCTTATTTGCTTTACTATAATTATTCTCACTACAAAGGCCACGCATTCATGGTAGAACTTCTGCCAACCTCAACATAGCTATTGAAATAATACATTTAGAGACCACAGGAAATGCCATGGTATTGCCCTGTGAAGCCAGTGGAGCTTCTGTGAACCAAGCAAGGACTGAAATTTCAATTTGTATTGTATGTTCTGTGTGTTTGATACCATGAGGTTATTTAATATATTAACATTATGTCATTCTCTCAATTTCAGGGATGCATTTTTCCCAACCAGAAAATTTGAAAAATTAATTTTCATTAAGCAATGTAGTAATTGAATTTAATAAAATTCAAATCTTTGACCTGAGAACTTTTTGTGCTATTCTGTAGCAAGTTAGCTCATTAATTTTGAATATAAAAGAGTAGACTTCATTAATTGCATATTATATTTTAGCCATGAGGATTTTTTTTTCTTGGTAACACTTATAAAATTAATATCTCAGTAATAATGTTACTTAATGTCAACCTCCAAACTCTTGTAAATACTGTGGTGATAGTGTATTATTCAGATAACTTAAGGATCTGGCATTTGAACCTATTTGTAAATAAAAATGCAACCAGATCAACAAATATGCTTATGTGCATATATCTATGTATACCCATAGATTCATTCGCCCTGTTTTATGACAATAGTGTGAAAATAACTTTGAATCCCTCAGTTTAGACATTAAAAATGCTGCTTTTCCTTGACAGAAAAATATGTATTTATAAGGAATTCTTGCTATATGAACAAAGGGTTAGTTCAGAATTGATCCTGACAATGAGGATCATGGCACTGAGACAAAAAGCAATTTCACTGTGTCTTACAGTGGACAGGAAAATGCGATAAAATGAAGGAACTGATATTATGTCTCAAACACAATTCATTTGTGGAAAGTGTAAATGAGAGGTAGTTTTGCTCCTAAGATGAGACCTTTGTGCTTGTGAATTAGAAAGCAAAATACCAAATCCATGGTCTTTTGCCAAAAGGATGCTTATTATGTAGAAAGAAGCCACGCGCAGAATCGGAAAATTGTCAAATCTGAGCAGTTACTCGTCTGTTAGAAAAAGTGAAAGACTAAAATTTTTTACTTAGTGAACCATTGTTGGTTTTAAATGAGATTTTATAGGTGAGGGGAATAAAGCCTGAAACAGCGTGAAAGCTCCGCTTTTACCTATAGCTGATGTTAATGTTTCTGTTTTCAGTTCTTTCCTCTGTTGAAATTTTTGTTTTCACATTTCCACTATATCTTCCCAGCATATTGTGACAACCTCCTGTTCTGCATACACCTTATAAACTATTTGTGCGTCTTTGGCATTGTTACTAGAGTGACTTTTGTAAAAGCCAAATATGTATTCTATAGCACCTTTACCTAAAATGCTGCAGTCATTCTCAGTCACAAGTTAGAACTCAAACTCCTTTGCCAGGGCTTTGGGGGCCTTTTGTAGGCGTGTTTAGCTCCCAGTGTATCAGTTTTGCTAGATAGGAAAAGATACTTACAATTCATTGTAAGTTTACATTTTCGGCATGTCTTTTTATGTCTTGTTCACTGTTCATGAAATGGCATGTCTGGTAGGGGTATATTAGCTGTCTCTTGTACATTCTTTTTTTTTTTAAGATTTATTTTATTTTTATGGAAAGGCGGATATACACAGGAGAGACAGAGAGGAAGATCTTCCCTCCGATGATTCACTCCCCAAGTAAGCACAACGGTCGATGCTATGCCGATCTGAAGCCAGGAGCCTCTTCCGGGTCTCCCACGCAGGTGCAGGGTCCCAAAGCTTTGGGCTGTCCTCGACTGCTTTCCTGGGCCACAGGCAGGGAGCTGGAAGGGAAGCGGGGCTGCCGGGTTTAGAACCGGCGCCCATATGTGATCCCGGGCGTGCAAGGCGAGGAGCTTAACCACTTCGCCATCGTGCTGGGCCCTCTTGTACAGTCTTAACAAATCAATATTCACTTACTCTGTGAAGACCTGCTCTCACATTTCCATGATACATCAAATCAATGCCTCTGGATTGTGCAGCTTTCCTGAAGTGGCTTACCATTTTTCCTAGTTCTCAGCTTTAGTTTTCATTCGACAGTAAATTTGCTGAAGCCAGCCTATGCATTATTCCTTACACTCTGTCCATAAGTGGTGACTGCCATACTTACACAAGTCATTTAACTGAATTAGTTATTTGGAAAAAAAGCACTAGCTTCATCTGTTAGCAAAAATAATTCAGTCCTTTATATCAGACACCAGAGTCTTATAACTACTGTTGTTATTATGAAATTTGGTAAATTTTGGACAGAAAAGCAGCCTTCATAATAAATTTGAGATAATTCATTATCTTCATATTACATCTTCTACCCTTCCATTCACATTTGTTTTTCTATGTCTCAGTGGATGCAGTTTTTATTCTTTTTTTCCAGATACCAAGGAATTCCTTGTTAACATTTGCATTGTACATATCATAACCAGCAGATACATGATACTCCAAAATCTAGGAAAATTAGAATTTCTAGATAAAGTTATTGTTTTGCTACTATTCTCCTACTTTTGCTGAGAATCAGATATTAAAGAAATAACCATATCATGTGTAAAAAAAAAAAGGAAAAAAGAAAAAAAATGAGAGGAAAAAAAAGGAAAGGCCACATTTAAAATATTTACCAGAAATTTAAAAAGCAGTGGCAGGAATAAATGAAAAATCCCCTTTGGTTACTATGGGTAGAGTGGGGAGAATTTGGGTACGTGGCAAGGGGAAGGAAAATGGTGATGCTCTAGAACTCATCCACAAGGAAAATATTTGCTGTTTAAAGCAGTGTTGTGTCCATGAAAAGTACATAGGCTGTGGGTTCGGGTTATATACTTGGATGTGAAGTGGATAGGACTTGTTCTTTATAGATTGGATTTGAGGGAGAAATTGGCCATTTCTGTAATTTTGGACAGAGTACATTGGTGAATGCTAAAATGACTTATACGGACTAAGACAGCAGGAAATGTGGAAGGAAAATTTACAATTCTAATTTATCCATAATAGATTTGAGATCTTAGAACACCAATTCTGAGACCAAGTGAGCAAGCTGGCTGTTTGAAATCTGAGTTTATAGCTTAGAAGTGTCATGGTAGTTATTTGTGTCATGGGTGTATTTAAGCCTTTTTTTTTTTTAATATTGGACCTTTTTTTAAACAGCAATGATCGTTGAAAAGTAAGCCAATGAAAGGTATCCTATCTTCTTCACATCTGGAGATTAACTCAGCTGCCTTTTTTGTTTGTTTGTTTTTTGCAGGATAAAGTTTGTTGTGAGCTCCTGATTCCAGATTCAGCCTGGCTCATGTATGGCTGCTTGGGGCAGTTGTGTCAATCTTCTTTTGGCTCCTCTACACTCTGCTCCTCTCATTTTCTACCCTCCCTTCTTCTCCTCTTTAAAATTTAACTTTTGTTGATGTGAATTATGATCCTTGACCCAACCACCTGGCTTAGTCATCTCCAAAGTCCCCATTTCTGATATCATTTCAGGGTTATTATCTCAGTGCATGAATTATTGAAAGATGTATACATTCAATCAGCTACTGCTTCCAGAAGTTTCAGTCAACTTCATATTTCTAGTTTTCTGATTCTAGTTTCATCTAGATGGAGACTTGCTTGCATATGTGATTTTTTATGTTTGACATATTATACTGGATTTGGTATTTGTAAAGTACTAGTACATTCCTGGCATTGAATATATCAGTAGTTGTCACAATTAATTACTGAGAAGCAGCTAACCATATGAAAATACTACAACTAAATCATCCATTAAATTGCTTGCAGACATCTGGGTGGTCTCTAAAGTAGAAAACTTTGATGTAAGTCTTTCTGCAACAGATGTTTTTATTTTCCTTGAAGAAAATACCAGGAATTGTTGAATCATTGAGAAAATGTCTATTTAACAATTTGTGAAGCTGCCAAACTATTGTTCAAATATGTTGTAATATTAAATTTAAGTTATAAAATAGTATTATTAAATTAGAATCTAACAATCTAGCATTGGTAAATTATTTGTAATAATAACATGAAAAATGTTGAATGTACCAGGCTCTTTAAAAGTTCCTGGGAATGTGTAAAAATACATAGATTAAAAAAAAAATCGTATCCAAATAAGCATCTTTTAATTCAACTTTTCCATAAAATTTTGATTTTTCCTTCTAGTGTGGTTGAGACTATTAAGTAAATAAAGATAATGCTCAAGTCATAAGCCTGATTGTAATATTGATAGTAAGGAAGGTAATGAGTAATAATAATAGTTAATACGTACTTACATAAAGCTAAGAGAAATGAATGATTTTTAAATATTTTTTAAAATTCTTAGTTTTAATTAGAAAGATTTGAGAGAGAAGGAGAGACAAAGATCTTCCATCTTTTGATTCACTTTCCAAAAGCCAGATTTGAACATATTTGAAACCAGGAACCAGGAGCTTCCTCCTGATCTTCCATGCAGGTGTAGGGTCCCAAGGCATTAGGCCATCCTCCACTGGTTTTCCAGGGCACAAGCAGGGAGCTTGATGGGAAGTGGAGCCGCCGAGATTAGAACCGGCGCCCATATGGCGCGTTCAAGGCTAGGACTTCAGCCGCTAGGCCATGGAGCCTGCCCCAGCAGCTTACTTTTTGCCAGATTTCTTAATTCCACCTGTTGCCAGGGGGCCCTTCACCGTGGCCTTCACTTTCAGATCCTTGAGTTTCTTCTGCTTTTCCTTCTGTTTCTGGTTGAAAACCTTATCCTCGTCATCGGTTTCCTTGGCCTGCGTCTTAGGTTGTTTCAGGGGCTTCTTTTTGCCACCCTCCCAGCCGAACATGTCGCCTGCCACCCCTCCCCCAGACCCTGCATTTTTGTATTTCTTACCACTCATTCAGTGACTCACCCAGAACGACTTCTAGATCTATAAGCCATTGTCGGCGTGTCACCATTTTATATCTATACCATGTATTCAGTATACATTTCTCTGTAGTACTCCCACACATATTGATATACTACAGTCGCTACAGTACAGATTTCAGTACAATAACAGACTCTACAAGGCTGTAATCTGGGAACAGCTGGCTATCTTGTTTAACCTGGTGACTGTAACAGGATTTATCATCAGGTAATTCTGTACATTCCATAATGTTTACACAAGAATGAAATCACTTCGTGAGCTGCTTCTCCTTGAATATCCCCATCATGAAGTGCTACATGACTAAGGGAAACATCGTGTCGAAAGCGTTTCCTGAGTTCTCAGAGCACAGAGCAATCTCACATGAAGAGTGACCTGATGGCTCATTCTTGGCAAAGTTTCCCACTGAGTAAATATGCGGAGAAAAAGAAAGCAGTTCAAGAAAGGAAGGATTTTCACAGAGAGCTGGAAGAGGACCTGCAGGCTAATAAGAAGTAAAGTCTATTTCAATGGTGTCTGGCTTAAGAATGGTACAATAAAAACTAATTCTCTTATGGAAGCAGATTTTGTGAAAAATGCATAGTTTTCTTCATATGACATCTTTCCTGTGAGCCTTTTAAAACTCCTCTGTAAAAGTATGGTGTTGATAATTTCATTTTTGCAAAGGTATAGTTATCTTGCAACCCTTATTTTTTGTCATTTTGAAGATTCATATGGGAAAAATAAATCTGATCTGTTTCAGAGATTATCTATTGGAGTAGTAAATAAATTACAGTAGCCCCTGCACTCTTAGCTGACACTTGACCTTTTAAAACTATTTTCCCTCACTGCATTTATTTACCAATTAATGAATTTCTGGTTACCTTCTCTGCGTTGAGGATAGTGTAATAGACAGGGCTTTGGGAGTCGGAAGAGTTTCATTTGATCTTTTCAGCATTCCATGTCTTAGGAGAAGTTGCAATAAAATGATCTTATTTCTAGTTACATTTCAGAGATCCATTTTTAGAGTCTGTTTTGTTGACTAAGAAAACTGTTGCCTATCTAATCCTGAATGCATTTAGTATGACCTATGCATCTACGCTTGGACGCGGGAAGGATGATTTAGTGATATTCAGCAGAGCACAGTCTCTACGTAGGCTTACCTTTCTTCATCCAACAAATGATTGATAGTCCTAAAGAGAATATGTATTTGAAGATTTTCTATAGAAACAAGAATAACATGTTGGAGTGGAAAGACTTAGTGCTATGATATCTGAGATCAAAGCTTAGTTTTTTATTTGTAAACTACAGGACTCCAGGAGGAGTCACTTCATAACCTTTTGAACTGAAGTTAGGCTATGTCTTGTATTCCAAACACTTGCAAAAAAAGTAAACACAGACAACTTATAGAGACCACTGTTGCAAGGGGAAGTCTCTGGTCAGGGAAGGGAGTATGTGATGGAGAATGGCCCACAGGCAATGGGATATAGGTGGAACAGAAAGAAACCCCCCTGAGTGTTAACAATTTACTAACTAATAACTTTTACTATGGCCAATGCCAAAGCAAATGATACCTGTGCCTGAAAAATGTAAAGGAATGATCACAGTTAGCTTAGGGAAGTATCAGAGAAATAAATATACAGGCTTTTAAAATAACTTATTTCTGTCATGTAATTTTGCAGAATTGAGAGTTCTTTTATTATAATTATTTATTCTTTATTGCAACGTCAGATATACAGCGAGGAAGAGACGAGAGACAGAGAGGAAGATCCTATGTCTGCTGATTCACTTCCTCTAAGCCAGGGGTCTGGAGTTTCTTCCGGATCTCCCACACGGGTGCAGGGCGCCAAGGCTTTGGGCCGAAATTGACTCCTTTCCCAGGCCACAGGCAGGGAGCTGGATGGGAAGCAGGGCCACCAAGACATGAGTTGATGCCCATATGGGATCCCTGCGCGTGCAAGAAGACGACTTTAGCCACTTGGCTACCACATTGAGAATTTTTTTTTTAAATCTGTGAATACCATTAGCTTTTAAAAATAAGGAATAGTGAAATGAGCATGTTAGACCTCCCCTTAGTGGAAAGTTAATTTTTGTTTTGTGCACAATGTAGAGCAAACACAGCTGAAAGTGGAGTAGCAAGCCACTGTAGCTCTGAAGCCTGCCTACCTTCCAGATGGCTCTAGCATTAGCAGCTGCATGATCTTAGCTTCATGCTTAGTCTTTTTGCCACTGTTAAGGTAGTACTAGCACCAAATCTGCATAGAGTTATTTTAATGAGATAACATTTAAGTTCTGAGCAGGATGACTGATAACTAAGGATCATTTTATGCCCTTTTTGTCCGAGGGGGTAGCCAAAATTTATTCAAAAATCATAACACATCTTAACATTTTGTTGTACAATTTTAAAGGTGAAAATAATTTGTTCCCAGATTCTGTTACATTTTGCCTCAGAGATAGTCACTATTCTGCATTTGTTCTCTTACAAATTTGGTGTATTTGTTTTCACTTTTCAGGTAATAACTTATTTTTAATATTTATTTTTCATGATAAATAATGTAAGATTTATGTATATACGTAAATGCCTATGGTATTATGATATGGTCAGTCATTACAAAGACAATTTAAAATTAGCCAAATTGTATCCACGTACATGTGAGGAAATAAGTAATTATTTGAACAACTACAGGCTTTGGTTGAAATGCATAGTAGAATATTTAACATGGAATTAGAAGAAGTTTATTTGTGGGACAAAGCTGGTGAAATGGTTGTAGTTTTTTAATGACATGAGTTTTCCATGAATTTTTGTAACTTCTTGCCTGGACTTGTGGGTTCCAGACAGATCTAATGACCAGTATGGGAACTTGAGCATTAAATGAGCCTCAGCCAGTCCAGGCTGATGTGTGCATTGATCCAAACAAAAATCTGGTGCATAATTGCCAAGAGCATATTTCTTCTTCATTAAAGCTATCATGCCTTCTTTGAGTTATTAATTTTAAGTGCCAGCCTTATATCTTACTCATCTAAAGACCAGTAAACTTGAAAACAAGGAAAATCTTTGTATTTGCTTCTATACAGCATTTTTTTTTTAATTCCTAGCACTACAAATCTTCAAAGATTTCTTCTGCTGCTCTTGATGGCGTCTGAAAACACATAGTGATAAACTCTTTGAAGTAGGTGTTATGCTTCACTAGAAAATCCTCTAGCAGACTCCCTCCGTTAAGATGCTGTTTTTCTCCCGAGTTATTTAATTCCTCCGAATTGTCAGGACACAAACAACCCGGATGTTTTATTCAAATACACAGTGACATCTCAATTCACTCGACAGTGCTTTTGTAGAAGTGTTTTCTGTCATTCCTTACTTTTGGAATAATTCAGAATTAAATGACTAATTATTCAAGATATGCTCAGTTATGTGTATTTCACTGAGTTCTAGAGTTGGTTCCACTCCCATTGGGAGGATGTCTTTTCCTGAGTTGTTTTCAAACATTACAAAAATTAATTTAAAATAGACTGGCTTGATAGATCTTTGATGTAACCGTTAGGATGACAATTGATATACCCATGTTCCGTATTGCATACCAAGCTTTGAGTTCTGGTTCCATTCTGAATTACAGCTGCTTGCTATAGTAAGCAAATGATGAGAAACAGCAGATAATGCTCAGGTACTGGGTCACTGTTACCAATGTAAGAATTCTAAGCTTCTGGGCCTGGCGCCATGGCCTAGCGGCTAAAGTCCTCAATTTGAATGCACATGGATCCCATATGGGCGCCGGTTCTAATCCCAGCAGCTCCACTTCCCATCCAGCTCTCTGCTTGTGGCCTGGAAAGCAGTTGAGGACAGCCCAAAACCCTGGGACCCTGCACCTGCGTGGGAGACCCTGGAGAAATTCCTGGCTCCTGGCTTCGGATCAGCATAGCATCGACCATTGTGCTCACTTGGGGAGTGAATCATCAGATGGGAGATCTTCCTCTCTGTCTCTCCTCCTCTCTGTATATCTGCCTTTGTAATGAAAATAAATAAATCTTAAAAAAAAAAAAGAATTCTAAGCTTCTGGCTTAAGCCTAGCACAAACTTGTCAGTCTCTTTTCCTTTTAACTAAAACTGGTAGCTAATTTTGTTTTTAAATAAAACATATGGTACTCAAGCCTGATGCTTCTTCCAATGAAAAACACTCATTATTATTACTATCTATGTCAACAATGATGTTTATAATATATAAGCTTTTCATGAAAATCTTTTTTTTTAAAGATTTATTTTTATTATTTTTTTATTGGAAAGGCGGATATACAGAGAGGAGAGACAGAGAGGAAGATCTTCCGTCCGATGATTCACTCCCCAAGTGAGCGCAACGGCCGATACTATGCCGATCCGAAGCCAGGAGCCTCTTCTGGGTCTCCCAGGCGGGTGCAGGGTCCCAAAGCTTTGGGCTGTCCTCCACTGCTTTCCTGGGCCACAGGCAGGGAGCTGGAAGGGAAGCGGGGCTGCCGGGATAGAACCGGCGCCCATATGGGATCTTGGGGCGTGCAAGGTGAGGACCTTAACCACTGCGCCACTGCGCTGGGCCCGAAAATCTTATGTATGTGATATAGTGCTGTCAGAATATTTTCTCTAGTGTTAACATTTTACCAATAATATCATTTTACCAATAATACATTAAAGAAACTTCTTAGCTTAGAAGCTGATATCCATAGATTGAGCCTGACAAAATGTTGAGGTAATTGATGAGATTATTTGGTCATTACAATGTTCATTGGTACTTTTGTGATAGACAGTATTATCATGATAGGTGATGCCTCCTCAAAGAGGAAACAAAAACTTTCTTAAACATATAATAAGGTACATAATGGAGTTCAACTACACCAATGGTTGTAAATTGTTTTGCTGTATATTTGCTTACAGTTATATCTCACCTAGAAACCATAACGGGATTGTCAGTTTCTCT